CCCATGCCATATGTGGCTGTTGGTTTGCTTTGACCCTTAAGACCAGGACCCTAAACCCTAAACCCCAAACCCAGGAGAAAGTCCCAATGGACTTTGAAAGGTGTCCTTATTATTTCGGGAGTTTTTTCATTTGGTTCGGGAGTTTGTTTTCCATCCGTCCCCGGTGGTGCGTGGCAGCAGGCAAGCAAGCAGGCAGGCAGGCAGGCAGGCAGGCAGACAGGCAGGCAGGCAGGCAGGCAGGCAGGCAGGCAGGCAGGCAGGCAGGCAGGCAGGCGGGCAAGCAAACAAGCAAGCAAGCAAGCAAGCAAGCAAGCAAGCAAGCAAGCAAGCAAGCAAGCAAGCAAGCAAGCAAGCAAGCAAGCAAGAAAATAAGCAGAGCAGGCAAGCAAACAAGACAATAAGCAGAGCTACTACTACTACTACTACTACTACTACTACTGCTATGACTAGCACGACTCCTATTATACTACTATTGCTATTACTATTACGATTCTTCTTAGTATTATTATTACACTATTCGTATTGCTGTTACTATGAATATTATTGTTAATATTACGACTACTATTACTAGTACTATTGCGATTGCTATTACTATGACTATGATTATGATTATGACCATTACTATTATTTTTACTATTACTACTACTATTACTATGACTAGTGACAGTGACTACTACTACTACTACTACTACTGCTGCTACTACTACTACTACCATTGCTACTACTATTACTATTACTATTGCTGATATTAGTACTATTAGTACTACGTACTAGCACTACTGCAAGCACTACTTTTGCTACGTTTACTCCACTACTACTATTACTTCGTTACTTCGACTACTATTATTACTGCTACTACAACTGCAACTACAACTACAACTACTACTACCACTACTACGACGAATACCAGATACTGCTACTAGTAGTAGTACTATTACTACTACTACTACTACTACTACTACTACTGCTACTACTACTACTACTACTACTACTACTACTACCCTACTACTGCTGCTGCTGCTGCTACTACTACTACTACTACTACTACTAGTAATACTACTAATACTACGAATACTACGACTGCTAACACGAAAGGGGACAAATGGAAAAACAACTACCGAACCAAATGGAACAAAGCCGTCGCTTTAATTTGGTGACGACTTTTCAAAAAAACCCTAAACCCTAAATCGCTAAACCCTACAGGGTTCGAGCCCTGAGGTTCTGAACAGTCAGCAGGCTTTTTTAGAACTTTCTTTTGAGCGCTTCTTAGCGTAGCCTTTGCCATGTTGAGAAGCGGTTTCGGTTTCTAGTTGATTCAGGGTTCGTGGATTCTGGTTGTATGGCTTACGGTTTCGACTTTCAGGGGGTTTGTTTCCAGTTTCTGCAGCTTTTAGATTTTAGCGCTTTAACGTTTACAACTTACCAAAAACTCCCCTGAACCCTTTACCCTAAACCCTAAACCCTAAACCCCACACCCTTTACCCAAAAAGCCCCTAAACTCTAAACCCTCTCTATCTAATAGCAGTTGAAACCTTAATGATCTTCGCGGGCAAGGTTCGTTTCTTCGTGGGCAAAGTGCGTTTCTCGAATCTTCGTGGGCAAAGTTCGTTTCTTCCTGGGCATTGTCCGAACCCTAAAGTAATAGTCAGAACCCGAAAATAGTAGTCTGAATCCAAACAAACGAGTGGTCCGAACCCTAATATGATAGTCCGAACCGTAAAACACTAGTCCGAGCCTTAAAATAGTAGTCCGAATCCTAAAATATGGTAGTCCGAACGCGACCGATTTCAAGGTTTCACTGCCGGTGGAGCGGTCCTACGACGTCGCCGCGATGCGCACCTTCGTCGTTGAAGTGCTGGCTGGCGTAGCGGCAGGCAGCGCAGGCTACGTCAGAGCACCAGCATTGCTCTGCATAGTGTATCAGCACAGCGGTGAGGGTACTTCACAGTTCGTTTGGCGGGGTACCTTGCCGTGAAGTGCTTCATGTTGCTTTCCAACAAGCAACCAATCGCTTGGCACATGCTGCAAACGGCAACACTGCGGCGTATCTCGGCGGCAACACATATCCTGCAGTGCAGTTCGATGCGCTCCGGCTCGCTACTTGTTAGGGGCACCGTCGGTGTGAAGGCAACTGCGCCTTCTGTTTCCAGCCTATCAGCTGCACAGCCTGGCTGAGTCCAGTCTCAAGACTTTTACTCGGGCTCTGCTGCAGGTCGCTCTCGCCGCGGAACATGCTGTAATTGACCTCAGCGACGTAATACCTGCGCCCACCTCCATCGACGCCGCTCCCGGTCCGTTTAGAACGGCCGGGAAGGTGCTGCAAGCGGCAGTCGGGGCACCCCCATGACCGCCGACTCTCGATTCATTTTCACGGAACGGAGCGCATCGTGTTCCTAGTCCCATGCTTGGAGCCTGGGGGGCTTCATCGATTTCCACAACCAACATGTTAACTCTGAGGCAGCTCATTCGCAGCCGTCGGATGTAATCCCACAGCAACGCATGAGCGACAAGTTTGAGCCGTCCTAAGCCCAAAGCCGTAAACTTTGAGTCCGACACGAGGTCCTGGGACCGTTATCCGTGTGGATTTTCAAAGCTCCGTTTCTCAAACAACTCGCAGCTTTGCAGTGGAATTCAGCACCTTCCACCCATTTACATTCACATGGCACCAAGCAGAAGTTTGACCTGCTGTGGAACTGACATTGAAGCCCCCCAGCCTGAACCCCCGAGCCACGAAGCCTCCAGTCGGCATCCGTCGGCGCAAGCTAAAGATGCAGTGTGTTCAAGATTTGGGGTTGGGTCGAGATGAAGGGTTGAGGCTTAGTTTATGGCTTCAGCTTACGAGGGGACAGCTGCAGGATTTGGCTGTATGCCTTTCCCTGCTGATGGAATCTGGAATCCGGCCCAATCTGAGGGGGTTCGGGTTCTGGGCCTATATTGCAGCAGCTTGGTGGTTCCGCTCAGATGTTTTCTTACTTGTTGGTACGGCGACCCCAAGCTCGACGGCAGCTTCTCTCCCCAACTTGGTGCCTCCTTCTGCTGCCAGGTCGGGGGGTTCTGCTCAGGCTCCCACTATTTGCTCTCGGCTGCTTGGGCCTCGGACCAAATCCTAGGCCGTCTGCTGTGGCGCATTGGATGGGAAACCTGCGCTGTTCATGCTGCGGAGATGTTCTCCTTGGTGCTTTCTCTTCAGCATAGACGTCCAGGACACTCTCCCTCCTCTCCCTCCCTCTCCCTCCCTCTCCCTCTTTGCTTTCTCGGATGCTTCTTGTTCAGGGCTCGCCCTTCTTCCTTCCTGACACGTGCCTTGGCTGCATGGCTGCCCTCTCTTGAACCGTCTGCGGAGGGCGGGAAGAGTGTGGGCGGCAACTACCACTACTACCACTACTACCGAACCCTAAAGTTTAATCGTCCAAAATAATTGTCCGAACCTTAAAGTGATAGGCCAAACCCTAAAGCAGCAGTCCGGATCTTGAAATAGTAGTCCGAACCCTAAAAACACAGTCCGAACCCTAAAACCCGAACCCCAAAATAGTAGTCCGAACCCAAAAATAGGAATTAGTCCGAAACCTAAAATGATAGTCCGATTCCTAAAATGGTGATCCGTGTAGGGTTTCCGTTAGGGTTTTGTTTAGGATTTCGCTTGGGGTTCCTTTTCGGGTTCTGTTTATGTAAGCAATCCTGCACATGATATGAGTGAAGGCTTTAGGCTTTAGGGTTTGGAGTTTAGGGTGTTATTCCTTAATTTAGGGGTTTCGGGTTCTGGAGTTTCTGTTTTTATTGCGCTGATTGCTTTTTCGTGATTGTGCAAATTGGCTTTGGCTCCAAATCCTGAGGAAGTGGACCCCGAAGTGTGGAAGTTTGTGACAAGAGGAATGGCTGTTGATGAGTATTCGACTCGCATTTTGTTGGAAACGTCACAAATTTTGATAGGTTAAAAGCAAGCTTCAGCGAATTTCAATGGCGGAATCACCTTTAGCGACAATGGGCACGCAATGGACATTTGCGCTCGATGCGTTGTTCACCTGGAGCTTGAAACTTCGAAAAGATTTGGACGATTTTGGGGCATTTGCATAAATGGGCTGCCTATTCTAATGCGACTGTACTTAGAAGATTGGTAGCTTTTAGAACCTTAGTCAAACCTGATGCAAAGTCTGCAAACTCAGAGGCTTAAAAAGGCAGCAGGGTGAGTTTGCAGTTTGCCCCAAACCCCAAAAGCCTACATCGCCCTAAACCCTATCGCAGTGTTAGGGCGGTTTTTTGTCCAGCGCGAGCCTTCTCGTTTGGGTTTAGCAGAGACCAGGCGGCTTTGGTATTTTGAGGCATCTTTGAGTGGTAAAAACCGCCTTTTACTCAATATAGGGGCCTTCCGATATTATTTTGGGGGCTCTTCATTATAATTAAAGTATAAGAGCCCCCAAAACCCAACTCTATTTATTGAGGCCCCTACATTATGGGGTTTGGGGTTTAGGATCCTTTATTGTTTATCGGCCTGGATAGGTGGGTGCCCATTTTTGTCCTTGTCCGGGAAAACCGGTTCATGATCAGGGGCTCAGAGGGTGTAGAATATAGGTGTGCCGTACATGCCCAGACCCAAAAGCCACAAATAAGGATTACGAATCAACCCTGTAGTAGAAGGAAAAGGCACAGCTAAACACCCCGCAAAATTAGATCAACACCAAATTCCTTAAGAGGAGGCAAGGACATGGAAACCTGAATATGTGCCCTGAAGAGTCCCCCGACCCGCCTTAAATCTTGAATCCTAGATCCTAAACTCAATAGCCGATTAAACTCATGAACCCTGTAAACCTCATACAGTATCAGTTCTATGGAACTCATACAAAGCCGTATAAGAAACCAGATCGGAACCTTTGTAAACCCTGACGTAAGCCTTTCCGACTATCATAACTATTTAAGTCTTTTCGCAATCTCTGTAAAACCTTATCATTCAATACCCAACGGTTGTTTGACACGATGCAGAAGCTTCCGGTGGCTTATCCGAGGCTAAGTACCCGGCATACGGAGCTCGAATCGAAGCTCGAGGCAGTTTTTTCTGCAGGGACTTTGGTATGTCATGAAAAACAACACTTGAGAACACTTACGTAGATACGGAGCAACAAAAACGAGTAAACAGTACATGTAGGCACTTTTTTCTTGAGGAGTCCAGGATGGTGGTGCCAGGCGTGTTGACGTTAATGGCGTTTTCCGAAGGCATGGGCTTCATGGTCCTGTGTGCTTTCTATTCGCATCGGTCCTGAAATCAACAGAAACCTCTACGGTCCAAGCCCTATGAAACGCCAAGCACTCAGCCCTCAGCTTTACGGCTACAGCCTAGAAGCCCAAAATCCTGAAAACCCTGCCTGGAGAGTCGGGTGTAAGTAGAAAAACTATGTAGACTTATAAGTACTTAAAGCAAGGGATCCTACTTGGATATGGTCCAAATGGGGGTATAGAATAGCTACTTACTAAGCCGGGGGGACCCTCCAAGTGATTCCCGATCCGTCAACCCCACGAAGCCCTTGACATCCTTGTAAGACCTCCACAACAGCATCACAAATCTTAAGCCCTTATAACCGTAGCCACCCAAGCAACAACCCGTAAACTGCTTGGACCCTAAACCCTAAACCCCAAACCCTAAACCTTGTAACCTTTTGAACTCCAAGCTTAGGCTCTAGGCTTCGAGGTCCCAAACCCTTCCATCAGCAAGGGTTTAGGGTTTAAGGGTTTTGGGTTTAACTCCTAGCCCCTACATTTACAATGTATACTTGACCTCTCAAAACCCGATTCTGCCCGTAATGTAGGAGCCTAGATAGCTACCAATACTAGTTTGGGGCTCCGTATTATAAGTATAGTGTCATGGGCCCCAAAACCCTATCCTAATCCAACAGACCACCATCAAGCCCGAAGCTTCCACTCTTGACAGCTCCCAGCCTGACAAGGGATGGATGCAACGGCAGGCCTACAATTTCTAGTATTTTGGAGCTTCAATCTTTGGGTGTTTTTTGTTTGTTATCATCTTGTCTGGGCAGGTGCTGCGCTTATAATCGATAAGCTTCAATTTTGGCGTCAAGTTGACTAATACTACGGTCGTGTTGTCCAGGTCTCTTGTTTCTGCTGTCGTGGCCGGATGAAATTTGTGCTGTGGCTGCGTTTGGATTCGGGCTCTAGACTAGAATTGAGTATTGGAACGAGGGCATAACCTCGGCTGTGTTTCATGGCCTTTGGGGCATTTTCGGGCGTACGATGTTTGTTCGAGGGTTTTGACTCCGCCTGTAGGGTCCTGCATGACCAGGGTCCGAAACAGGAGACTGCGCACACGAACCTTCAACCCCGAATCGACAAATCCTGGAACTTTGATTTTGCGCCTACCATGCGCTCCACACCCCGGAACTAAAACCCTACGATAATGTAGCGGCCTTAATAACTAGAAATAGGTTTTTGGGGGGTCCTTTATTATAATCATAGTATAGTGGGCCCCCAAACCCTATTCTAATTATTGATGCCCTTATATTAAGCCTTTAACCTCAGATCCAGACCCTAAACTCCAGATGTTAGGTTGCAAAGCTTCACTTCGCACCCTTAGGGTTTAGGGTTTAGGGTTTAGGGTTACCTAAGGGGGCAGTAGGGTAAAGATGAAAGAAATCAGAGCAGGAAATCCCAAATCCAACCATGGACCCCAAATTTCCTACCTTGTTGAGGACGTACATAAGCTGAGCAGGAAGGTTTCCTGGATGCCAGGGCGAATTTACGGGCTTGAATTATTAGCAATACTACTTTGGGGGTTTCTTTATGATGATTATAGTAGAATATAACTCAGAACCTTATTCTGAGTATTAAGGCCCCTACATCATCTTGAAAGCCCCCTATGGCCTCCAACCTGAAACACACAAAAACGAAGCCTGTCACCCCTAAACCCTCAACCCTAAACCCTAAACCTGCCTGGAAGCCTTGTGAAAGCCTTGACAAAGGAGCCCTACACTTAGAGGGTCGGGGGACTTAGCAAGTAGGCAATACGTGGACTTATAAGTACCCTAAAAGGGATTCTAATTTGGGGGTTATGATACTTATAAGTCTATAGAATAAGTAGTTGCCAAGTCCCCCGACCTTTCAAGTACAAGGATGCAAGGAGGACCTTAAGCCCTAACATAGGGGCCAAACTGGTTACCTATTGCCGATACTATTTTGGGGGCTCCTTATTATAATTATAGTATAATATACCCGACAACCCCATTCTAATTATGAAGGCTCCTACATTATAGAACCCTCTTATAGTACATCCCCTCTAGAACCCTGTAGAGGAACCCTTTAAAGGAGCCCTATTCTAGTTCTTAAGGCTCCTACATTCGATCACAGCAGGAAGCAATGCTTCAAGATCTTGGAGACAAACTTTCGGGGCTTCCTGGCCCGGTCTGTGTTGGGGCCTACCCTAAACCCTAAACCCTAAACCCTAAACCCTAAACCCTAAACCCTAAACCCTAAACCCTAAACCCTAGGGGTTTAGGGTTTACAGGGTTCAGGGTTTAGGGTTTAGGGGTTCAGGGTAGGAGCCGCTAGGGGCTTCTGTTATGTTTTGAAAAAAGGGGCCCTTTAAACGGTTTAGGGTTTAGGGTTTAGGGTTTAGGGTTGGGTTTTAGGGTTTGGGGCGGGCTTAAGCTTTCGGGGCTTGCGGTTAAGGGTTCGCGGGATTTCGCTGGCGCAGGGGCTGACGGATCGGTTTACGAGTTTATAGCTTGGCAGCGTCGGGGATTTGGTTTATAGGTCGAAGGTTCCATGTTACTTCTGTGAATAAGTATGAACAGAACGTCTCATATAGATTTCCTAAACCCTAAACCCTAACCCCAAAAACTTAGAAAATTACATTGCAGGGCCCGGTTCTGAGCTGAGGGTTTGGGAATTCGGTGCGGGCTGCGTGGGTATTTGCGGTTTTAGGAGGGAGCCCTAAACCCTAAACCCCTAAACCCCCAAACCCTAGACCCTAAACCCTAAGCCCTAAACCCTAAGCCCTCAACCCTAAACGCTAAACCCTGAACCGTATACCCGAAACCCTAAACCCTAAACCCTAAACTCTAAACAGTAGCAGTTGCTGCTGTTGCTTCAGCCGTGGTTTCTGCAGCCCGAGGCTTCGACCACACACTTTCTTTCACCTTAAAGGAACCCGTACGGGTTCCCTTTTCAGGGGTTCCCTTTAGGTTTTAGGGTTTTAGGGTTTAGGAGTTTAGGGTTTAGGGTTGAAGGGGTGTAGGAGTTTAGGGTTTAGGGTTTAGGGTTTTGGGGTTTTGGGGTTTAGGGTTTAGGGTTTTAGGGTTAGGGCCTCAGAGTGTAGTTTCGCAGGAACCCTACAAGCAGCAGGTACTCAGTGCCCTTAACCCTAACCCTAAGCCTTAAACCTTAAAGCCGAACTGGTCTCTGTTCCCACCCTAAACCCTAAAACCCTAAACCCTAAACCCGAAACCCTGAACCCTAAACCCCAAACCCCTAAACCCTAAACCCCTACACCCATTCAACCCTAAACCCTAAACCCTAAACATTAAACCCTAAACACCAGCCCCTAAGTGCACTTGGAGGGTCGGGGGACTTAGCAAGTTAGATTCTATGTACCTTATTTGGGGTTTAGGGTTTAGGGTTTAGGGGTTTAGGTTTAGGGGTTTAGGGGTTTAGGGTTTACCTTGTAACCTTACATGATCCTTTAAGTAGACCCGAGGACCCTAAACCCTAAACCCTAAGCCCTTATAGGGTTTAGGGTTTAGGGTTTAGGGTTTAGGGTTTAGGGTTTAGGGTTTAGGGACTAAGTCCTATGGCCCTGTAGCCCTTTAAGTAGACCCGACGACCCCTGGATCAGCATCTTTTTCCTTGCCGGCGCTTAGGTCGGCTGCCGCTCCAGCCGAGAGGCTGGAGGGGTTTGGGGTCGATGGTTCGGGGTTCATTTTTTTTTGTTTTCGGGTTTAGTGTTTTGGGGTGTTTAGGCTTTTAGGTGTTAGGGCTTGTAGGGTTTCGGGCTTTTAGGGTTTGGGCGTTTAGGGTTTTAGGGCTTTCAGGGCTCTTAGGGCTTTACAAGGGCTTTTAGGGTTTAGTGTTCGGTTCCAGGCTTTGGTTTTTGTTCCCTAGCGTTCCAGACCTTGTCTTTATAGCCTCCAAATCAGGGTTCTGTGTGGGTTTTAAAGGGGGTTTGGGGTTTAGGCTTTGGACGCCTTCAGTTGTTTGGGGTTAAACCCTAAACCCCAAACCCCTAAACCCTAAACCCCAAACCCCCTAAAACCCTAAACCCTAAACCCTAAGCCCTAAACCCTAAAACCCTAAAACCCCAAAGCCCCTAAAGCCCTAAACCCTAAACCCTAAGCCCTAAACCCCAAACCCCCTAAAACCCTAAACCCCAGACCCCCTAAAACCCTAAACCCTAAACCCTAAACCCTAAAACCCTAAAGCCCTTAAGCCCTAAACCCTAAACCCTAAACCCTCAAGCTCCAAAAAGATTCCCAAGCCTCATAGAATCTATAGGCCAAAATGCTTTAAAGCCCTCGTAGAAGCGTGCCCTAAACCCTAAATCCCCCCGAGACCCACAAAGGAGCCGGGTGGCCGAGCCAGCTCCGGTCGAAGCCCCTTCTGCGCCGCCTTCGAAGCTTTCGAAGTCTTCCGTCATGGGAAGGCCCTTTTTATGCTTTAAAGTCAATACCCTTTTGGATTTTGGGATTAAGGATTACGATTTCAATTTTTTATGTTTTAGAGTTGACGCCCTTTTAGGTTTGAAGGTTTGCGGTTTCAGGGTTTACGGTTTAGGGTTTCAGGGTTGAGGGTTTAGGGCTGCAGGGTTAGAGGGTTAGGCTGTTGGAGCCTAGGGGTCTGGGCTTTGGGGGTTTAGGAGCGTAGGATTTAGGTTAAGGGGCTTAGGGTTAAACCCTAAACCCTAAACCCTAAACCCTAAACCCTAAACCCTAAACCCTAAACCCACCCTAGAGGTTTGTTGGGATAGGGCTTGGTGGTCTCTGCAAGGTTAGGGGCTTCGGATTTGGAGTTGAGGACTTGTTTCGGATTTCGGTGTGCCTCCCTTTAAGGAATATAGTGATACAGACAGGACCCTCGTACTTTAGTCAGACATCATCAGAGAAGGTATCTAAGCCTAAACACGAAATTTATATTGTACTGTAAGCCCTTTCTTGCGGTGTCTACTTGGAGGGTCGGGGGACTTAGTAAGTAGGTGATAAGTAGACTTATAAGTACGTCTAAGTACCCGAAAAGAGACCCTAGCTGGGGTTGTGCTACTTATAAGACTCTAAGCTAACTACTTACTAAGTCCCTAAACCCTAAACCCTAAACTCTAAACCCTAAACCCTAAAGTCTCCAAGTAGTTTTATTACTGGACTCTTAAACAAAAGAAGGATGCCATGGCTCGGGTCAAAGTTTAGCCCAACAGGGGTTTGGGGTTTCCGGCCGTAGGGTTTTAGGGTCTAGGGTTTAGGGTTTAGGGCCTTAGGGTTTTTAGGGCCTTGGGGTTTTAGGATTTTCAGGTTTGATTCTTAGGTTTTGGCAGTTTGTAGTGGTTTCGCTCCGTACTCTTTGTTGTAGTTGTAGTACAACATGCACCAAAACCTTAGTCTACAATGTGCATCTCAAGGGCAGTGAGCTGCGAACCCTACGAGGAACCCGGTTAAAGGAGCCGTTATCGGAACCCCAAACGGAATCCTCGAACGAACGCCTGCAGTAGCCCGAAAGGAAGGCTTAGAAGGAATCCTTACAGTAAACCCCAAGCCTTAAACTCTAAACCCTAAACCTTGAACCCTGAGCCATAAACCCTAATCCCCAACAAACTCCCTGTAGATCTCCTGAAATGGAGCACTTAAGCCGCAGCCTTAAAGGAGCCTTCATAGGAGCCTTTAAAGTTAAGCAGCCCCTGCAAAGAGGCCGAAGCCCTGAACCCGAAGCCTTAGAAGAAGGCTTCCTGACAACCCAGAACCCACAGACGCCAAAGCCCTTCATCAAGGTTTGGGGTTTAGGGTTTAGAGTTTTTAAGTTTTAGGGTTTAGGGTTTAGGGTTTACGGTGTAAGAGGAACCCCTATAAACATGGTTTAACTTATATTCCTTGTTTATACGGGGTTTTGGAGTCTGGAAAGCATCGGCGAGGTCGCCCACCCTCAAGAACTTTGCAGAGAAGGCGGCGGAATAACAAAGGGAGCGTTCCTTTAAGGGGCCTCCTTTAAAGGGTTCCTTCAAGGGTCCCTTTCAGGGCTCCTAGAAGGGAAGGAAGCGGGTTTTGGGGTTCTGGGGTCTTGGGGTTTCGGTGCAGAGCTTCCGGGTCTTGGAGCGTTTAGGTTTTGGGTTTTTTTTGCTGTTTGGCGTTTGCGGTCCAGGTTTTAGGGTTTGGGGGGTTTAGGGTTTAGGGCTCAGGGTTCAGAGGGGTTTAGGGTTTAGGGTTTAGTCAGTGTGTGACTGCAGGCAAACCGGGGCTACGTCAGGTAATTTTAATATCTGTCCCGACATTGCAAGGCGTGGGCTGCGGGTAAACTAAAGGGCCATGGGCCTCAGAATCATGATCCCTACTTAAAGGATCATGGGACTTAGTATCTGAGGTTATAAACAAGGTAACTATACTTCTAACCCCAATTAGGGTACTTATAACCCTACTTACTAAGTCCCAAGATCCTCCAAGTAGATCCTAAACTCCTAAACCATTGAACTAATTCCCACACACATAAACCCTGAACCGTGAAAATGGGTTGAGTGGGTAGAGCTGTGGGGTTGGGGTTTGAAGTAGAAGGTGGTTCAAGCTTAATCTCGGCTGCCGTAAACTCGAAACACGAACACAGTCCAATTCCCAGAAACAAAAGTGCATCCCAGACCCGCTGGCTGCCAAGAGGCCAGAACCAGACCGAGCAAAGCCGCATTTCCTATACGTACATGAAGAGTATCTTTACCCCAGATCTATCGGCCTAAGACCCTAAACCCAAAAGGCTAAACCCTAAACCCCTAAACCCTAAACTCTAAGCCCTAAACCCCTAAACCCTAAACCCTAAACCCCAAATAAGGTACATAGAACCTCCCTAAACTCTAAACCCTAAGCCCTAAACCCCTAAACCCTTAAACCGTCAAGCAAGGAACGCCTAGAATCCTGTGGCACCCGCACTTTAGCCTTGCACCCAATATAGGGGCCTTAATAACTACCTATACTTTTTTTTTGGGGTTTAGGGGTTAGGGTTTAGTTTTTTTTTTTTTTGCGGGGGGGGGGGGTCCTTATTATATTTACCCTATTCTAATTGTTAAGGCCCTTACATTACTTCCAGATTCTGTCTGTACATCCTTCTAGTGCTGTACGGGCTTCCGACGAAGTCGATGCCATCATGTACATGCTGTCGTGGAAAGATCTAGTTATTAAGATGCGGCGGTTATATTTTGCTTGAAAACCCAAAAAAAGCCGCATTGTGCCTTCCACATGCTCCGAGCCTTCTGCCGGCACCGATAGCTCCCTGTGTTCAGGAGCAGGCTGAACACGCGCATGTTGTTTTGGGGCTTGAATCCTCTTTACGAATCCTGTCTGGCTGCAATGGCACATGGGCGGTTTTCTAAATAAGGGTCCCCAAAATAGCACGGCACCCTCATAAAAAGCATCCGAAAAGGGGACTGAAATCTCGAGAACTACCCACATGGCCGCCTCTTGACTAGTGGGTCCCAGTTTCATCTCTGTTCCTGTGGCGCCTCCTCTCTGTATGATGTTGGCTGTGGGATTCGTGCCTGTAGGCCATCAAAATGCGGGGCAACCGTGAAATCATATGGCCGACTCAGCTTTCGTCGCATGCCTTGACATACAAGGAATTCGTTTTGATGGCCGTGCCGATCTTGTGGCATCACCCGAAAAATGGAACCCTAAACCCTAAACCCTAAACCCTAAACCCTGGATACTTTTGCCGAAAAATGGGACGTCATCCTCCGTCCCTGGCCCAAACACCCGCCGAATTTCTCGGGCCGCAGGGTCGAATCTCCGGGTCCCTGAGCCGGAGATTTTTCGGGGGCGCTGGCTGGGTTTTTGGCCTTGTTCCTACCTTCCTTCACGGCCTCGAAACTGTATTTAGGGTTTAGGGGTTTAGGGTTTAGGGGCTATCAACACGAGGGGGCAAATCTCAGCGTGCGGCGATCCTTGCATCAACTGTTTGATCCTTCTGGTTGTGGTCGTCCCCCTGGGGTGCCGTTCAATCATCGACGGGCCATACATTGGCCAACTTGACCTGCTCCTCTTCGATATTCTCCTCTTCATGGTAATAGTAGAATGGGGCCCAAAACCCAATTCGAATTATCAAGGCCCCTATATTACCTAAACCCTAAACCCTAAGCTCCTTTTCAGAGATGCCTCCACGTCCATTAAGACGACGTCCCAGCCGGACCCGGGCTCTGCAGGGATATCCTGGAGCCGAGACTCCCTGCGTGGACCACGCTAGTTGAGTGTACTGTAGGGGCCTAAATAATTGCCTATACTATGTTGGGGGTTCCTTCTTATGATTATAGGATAATGGGCCTCAAAGCCCAATTATTAAGTCCCCTTTCTTAAATCGATCCGCCGGCTGAGAACTCGAATGAAAGCTCGAGCCGGCAGCCGTTGTGATGGCAGCCCGCAGGATTTAAATTTATCCTCGGCTTTTCCCGGACCGATCACCATACCTTCTGCTTCCGCATCCTCTCCCTGTCTTTCGGCTCTCGGGTGTGTTTTTTTTTCAGAATTTGGGGTTCACGTGCCTATAGGGACACGGCTTTCCCACTTCCGGCTCTGATGCGCCTTCTTGTGCTCCTGCTTCGCACGCCCTCAAATCGATGCTGCGTGTTTCCACCTTCTGCACAGGAACGCGCAGGTTATGAACTCGAAACAATCAATGTAGGCTTTTGCGTAGACAAGCAAGGCCCAGATGGAGACTGAGCCAGCTGTTGAAGACGAGGCCCGGAAATGCAGGGTTAAGGTTTTATATGTTTATATTGGGTTTCGTAGCCGGTTTTGTGATACGCTCTGTTTCAGGCGTCCTTGCCAAGAGAAGTTTGACACACCGTAAAGTTTCTGTACAATCATGAAGTGCTGCGAGTTCTTCGATTTCGCGACCTGCGGAGCTGCAGGCAGAGCCAAACTTTAGAGTTTTGGGTTTAGGGTTTAGGGTTCAGGGTCTACAATCATGGAATCCAGGATTTCGGCCTTAAAGCTGTAGTCGGATGCATTACATGGAGGTTTCGAAAAATTAGGGGACCCAATATAGCACCCGAAATAGTAGGATCCTTATTATCAGGACCCCCAAATAAGGTACCCCTTATTTTGGGAAACTCCCAGATGGCAAGTTTGCAGACCGACCATGAAGGTCATAAACCCATGGGCTGTAAGCTCCAAGCTGACAAACTCTGATCATTGTCGACATGTCGAAGCCCGCCTAAAGAATTACCTATACTGTTTTGGAGGTTCCTTATTAGAACTATTATAGGTATAATAATTCCCAAAACCCTATTCTACTTATTAAGGCCCCTATAGTACTGCTGTAAACAGGAGGACGTGCCTGTGAAGAAGACATCCGTGCTCGTCATGGGCGCCACGGGAACGATCGGCCGACAGGTGGTTCGCATTTCGGCTGCCCTATCGCGGGGGCTCAGGGCGCGTTCTTCGCAGCTGTGGTATTGAAGCGGTTCAGGGCCTATTTAGGGTTTGAGGCTTCCAAATCATGAGGTTTTCAGATGGTTTTCAGTCACGATTGCTTTCCATGGTCAACCCAGTCGTCTAGCAACTAGCCTTGTAACCTTTCTGGGTGAGTAGAGTGTCCTGCCCCTATCCAAGCCGATCGTTTGGCCTTTAGTTCGCCGAAAGAGTTGGACGAGCAAAACATTTGATCCCTCAGAAAGGATCTGTAACATGAAGAATCTACACCAGTCAAAGCCCTGGACCCTCAGCTGTAGTGCGTAGCACCCCACACACACGCACACGAGCATGCATCCCGCTTTGAGGACAGCTTCTCAATGCGGGCTACTCCGTTCGATGCGCAGCTTGCCAAGAGGATTTCTAATCCTTACATCTTAAACCTGTGGCGCGCAAAACAGCAAGTGCCGCATCCCTGAAGCGGGTCGTGATCGTTACACCCTTTAGAAACTTTCAGTACCTTGCTAGGTGGATGACCAATCTGGCAAGGCCGTATGTACCTGGCTGATCACTCTATCTCAGGTGTACCCAGGTCTTCAGCACTTAGGACGTTCTTTTGACAAACGGGCACTGCAACAAGAGAAGTTGCCTGCTAAACGTCTACCCGAGTTTACGTCACGCAAACATCAGTAGTCCAAAGCGAATCTTCATCTGGTGCGAGCTATCTAAATGAGGCATTGCAGCAGGGATCGGGTTTCTGTTGGTAGAGCTTTCAACTGGACTTGCAGTTTACATTGATTTCGGGTCCAAGCGCATAATATAGGGGCCTGAATGATTACTATTTGTTTTTTTTTTGGAGGGGGGGGGTGGGGGGTGGGGCTCCTTATTATAATTATAGTTTAATGGGCCCTAAAACCCTATTCTCATTATCAAGGCCCCTACGTTATGGTTAAATGACAGGTCGGGCTGCGGGTTTAACAATCACTGCTGGACAGGTTTGGTTCGAGCTTTGGGGGCAGCGCAAGGCTCAGCTAGGGGTTTAGGGGTTTAGGGTTTGGGGTGTAGGGTTTAGGGGTTTAGGGTTTAGGGTTTAGAGTTTGCCAGGCTCAATGCGAAAAAACGGCGTTTACCGAGGTGTTGCGCAACCGTGCCGACCGGCAGTTCTCGTTCTTGGTTGTGCCTTGCCAGAGACCCCCTAAACACCGTCACCCCTCTATGAGGTTCAGGGTCTAGGTCTAGGGTCTAGGGTCTAGGGCCTAGGGCTTTGCGGAGGAGGACGGTTTATGGATTTACGGCTCCTGGGCTTGGAAGACGCCCAGTGTATAGGGTTGAGGATCCCCAGGCCCCTTCAAGGAATACATCTGTGGTGAGTTCTAGGATTCTGGGGAGTAGTATGTTCATACTGCATCCGAAGTCAGTGATGTCCGACGTCAAACCAAGTCCCTTTCCATAGGCCCCTGCGCACAGGCAACTCTATAATTTAGGTTTTCGGGGTGTTCTTTGAAGAGTACCTTAACTCACCAGAACCGACTTTTTTGGTAGGGCCCCTATAAATCCCCTGTTATATTAGGGTTTATAATAGGAATTTTTTGTAGGGTCCCTATAAATCCCCTGTTAGGGTTTATAATAGGAGCCTTTAAAAAAGCGGGGTTTTGGTAGGTTAAGGTAGGTACGTCATTCTGAGGGCCCCAAAAGGAATTTGGGACTCTCAGCTTGGCCCAGGATATGGGGTTTAGGATTTAGGGTTT